GAACGCCATTACGGACTCAGTTATGGAATCTCCGAAATGCCAACAGTTATCAGTCAAAGCGCCACCAGAACTGGCCGTCAGATAAGGGCTCCCAAATCATTGGACGTATAAAATTGTCCACAAATATATCAATAAACCATTAATGTAATCATTAAATACAGTATAGCGTAAATCTCATCTCAAAACAGTTCATATATACTTTTTATTGTAATAATAACTCAAATCACTTGCGAGAAGATGTATATAAAAAAATTTATAAATTAAATACTAAAAATGAAAATTAATTTAAATAACTAAATGGTTCTGCGGTTTAGAGCTCGTCGTGATCGACATCGCTCTTCGAGTTGAGTTTTGAGTCGTCCGACGGCTTCACGTAAACGCCTTCTTTGGTGCGCCAATAGCTGGCGGAGTCCGGATGTGAAGAGCCCACGATCTCCATCTGGCCGTGAATCGGACGCCCGTATGTGTGTCCCGACATCGATAGCCACCTGTCGGTCGCCAATCAATCGTTTTTTAAATAGAGAAATCATTTTAAAACTACACTTTCAGTCACTACTAGTGTCTCACATCTCTGTGTCCACGTGTTTGAGCCGAAAGTCTGTGTCCCTCTCCCAGTAGTCGCCGCCGCAGACGAGCGTCCAGTTGTCTCCGGTGTCTCCCTCGCCATTCTTGTCGCCAAAAGCGCTCACCTCTTGGTTGCCGGACAGCGGCGACGAGAAGTGATGGCTGTGGAGGTTCTTACTCGTGACCATGTGTTGCAGCCGCACAACTGACCCGCACTCCAAGGGTTCGCCCCTCTGACACGTGCGGTCAATCTTCCCCCNGCGCTCACCTCTTGATTGCCGGACAGCGGCGACGAGAAGTGATGGCTGTGGAGGTTCTTACTCGTGACCATGTGTTGCAGCCGCACAACTGACCCGCACTCCAAGGGTTCGCCCCTCTGACACGTGCGGTCAATCTTCCCCCTCACCGCCCAATAGCTGTTCACGTCTTCGCCGGTGTCGGTGCCGGTGACCGACTGCTGACCGCTTCCCGACCCGTACTTAACGTCATGCGAATGGAGTCTTACGTTATAATTAGTGTTCATTAGTTTCAATACCGAACCGCACGTCACATACGAGTAGTGTTTTGTACACAAACACATCATTAGGCTATTCAGCCCTAACACTAACACTGCATGAAATTCACGCAAATTCATAGCTATTGTCACTTAATTGTCGCCAAAAACCAATTTATATCAAAATTATTGCCAAAAACCGATTATCCGATCGATTGGGGTATTGAAAGCGAAAGTGTTTTCCGAAATACCGGTTGTGTTAACGCATTGAAGAGCCCTTTCGATGGTTTGTATGTCGAGACCGACTAGTATTGCATCGATTGGTCGCCAATTGTCGGGATTTAGCGTTGAATTCGATGCAAAACTAAATCAAAACTAATTCAACACTTAATACACGTCTGATTAACACAAAAGATGTGCCCCTTTTCGCAGTGACGTCATCACAACCGGGCGTTTCAACAACACTAGACACCCATTAGTTGTCCCGTAATTACCGGTCGATCCCACACTGTCTCCTACTCTACATTGAAACACATTTATATCTAACACTAATTGTTATTAAATTTAATACATTTTATTTGTTGCTTATATTGTGCTATAATATTATAGTTAACAAATGATTACATTGATTTGATTAGGGAGTAAAAGTGCGGGAACGGGACGGGACTATTGGATGGGAAAGTTGTGAACACTAGTGTGTATGCGATAGTATGGGTGTTGGTGTTGGACACGAGGCGTCGCCCCAAACACAGGACAATACGATTGAGTCGTCTATTATTATGATTGCATTTCTCACGTATTGTTGAATAGCATTGTATTGACTGAAATACGAGTCCTAATGCTATTCAATGGCAATGTTTTGATATGTTATGCGAAAAATGGTGTCTAAAATGATTTGAGTGTGAATTTCAAACTACTATTTCATTAAACCGATCGACACTTCAATGCATTTATTTATTTCTATTTATTTCAATGATTTGTAAATACAGTGTGTTTTGAGTGATCGTCCGATCGATTGATCGCTGATATCAATGGTCTGAATGTCTTTAATAGCCATGGATTACGAGTTGAACCAAATCCAGCCCTTAATCGTAAGTCCTATTCATTCACCACTCGTTGTATTGACTTATCATTTGGTTTTCGTAATTAACTAATCGTTTACTGAGTGATAGCTATTTGGGTGTCAATTGTCTGGTGAGGTCTTAACGGCCGATATGTCTGCCATTGTGTGGACACAGGTGTCGGACAGTGACCGGCGATGACTCCTGTTATCTGTCAGGTGTTGTTGTCGTTGAAAGAGTGAAATGAATGGTAAATAAGGAGACAATTCGTGGTGTGATTAAGCGATTGGTTTGTTGTCATGAAATGTAATGCTATTTATATGTTTGATATGAATATAACATTGCGTTTAGAGTTAAGCTTCAAATGAAGTGATAAATAAAAGTATGACTCAAAATATTAGATCACTTTTAATGGGCGATAGACTGAAAGCACTGGTAATTCATATGTGTTTTCATTTTTACATTAATTATTTACACTTATTTTTCATGACATAAATGATTACTTAAATGTATTGAAATGTTTTTTGTATAGTTTTGTGTGTGTGTTGTATGGGTTTGCGATAAAACAGTTTATATATAAAGTTATAATTAAAGTAAACCATTTTCTCCTCTAAAATCTCCACTTCGTTACACAATTATTATGCAAATTATAAAAATAAAATACATTTTTTTCAGCACTAATTGACAATTAAATTATTGTTATTTTCTCTGCTTTTTGTCTTTTTTCGTTAACTTTCATTACAATTATTACAAATTAATTGTCAAATAATTGGATGTGTTATAGAAATACAGACATTGATTATGCAATAGTAATGTCAAAACAATTGCTTTATTAGTCGTGTGTGTGTTATATTTGTAATTGTATTTTCTCTAATCATTCTCTCTCTCTCTCTCTCTCTCTCTCTCTCTCTCTC